CAGAAACGCAACTCTACCACTGACTCCATTTGCTCTACAACATGGATGTTCTATTGCCACAAATAGCACAACCTGGAGGAGTTCTGCTGTGTTGTGGAGTTGCTAATGCTAATGGTTAGCTTCTAGCTGAGATGCTCTCTGCTATTTCCTGGACACTAATCCAACAACAGCCTTCCCTGTTGCGGTCAAGATGGATGAGTCCATGAACGTGAAGTGACAATGTGACGCAGATCTGTCAGACTTTCTAATCCTAGAGTTTCACCATCTATTATCAGAAGTTAATGCAGGAGATAGATGTAGGAGACTGTTTTCATGTTCAACCTGCATGACGAAGCCAATAAGTGACTGATTATAATCAGAATATTTGAAAACTGCTTATTTCAGTAAATCACACCTTTAAGTCGTAACATAAGATTTCATACATTTCTCTATAAAAACACAAAGTTCAGTTTTTAATTTTGACTGACTGCAGTTTCCTTTAGGATTTTACTGACTCAGAGTTAATTAAAAAATGATCAAACATCAAAGATACTCAGAACGGCTGATTGCATGTTTCATGTTTCTGATTGCCATGCATACTCTGGGTACCCCATGCATCTAATATCCTAGCCGTTCTTGGGAGAATTAGTGCTGCTGGCAATTTTTCCCACGCAGACAGTAGGTTATTAACGGTGACTTGTTCCTGGAATTCACCCCACTATAACGAACGCTATATCTAATCCCCATAAAGGGAGGGTTAGTGGAGTGTGAGGGGTGTTACCATGACAGTCAGAGAGGCCAAGGGAAAGAAAGGGAGCTGATTACTATGGGGTAAATTATGGTAGAAAATAAGGGAATCAGAAAAAAATAGTTTGACTATATATTTACTTTAAACTCATTAAAAAATATAAAATATATATTTTTTCCACATTTTTAATGTTTTTTTCTGATAAAAATCTGTCACTCTGAGTTTTTCATGCAGGCTGAACATGAAAATAGTCTCCCACACCTATCTTCTGATAGAAAATAGATGATGAAACTCTAGGATTTGAAAATCCTCATTTATCTACATCACACTGTGAATTAGCATTCATGAACTCACCGATCTTGACTCAAGACATGGAAGGCTTTTTTTGTTTTAAAGCCCCATTCTGCAACTTTTACACCTTAAAATTTTATTTTGGAAAAGTTCTGGTGGCATACTATCATCCATTATGTTCGTTTTCAAAGTTGTGACAGTGTTATGGGGTCCCATGTCTGTTTAAAGGTCTATATGGTCCGCCAGCGGAAGTACTGACTGCATGTTACAGCACCAGTATCACATAGAAGTAGACCCTGTAGACATGAATATGTAAATGCCCCATCAGGCGCTGGATAGTGTAACAGCATCGCCGCCATATTGGATGGGTCTCACTCTCCAAAGTAGATTGTAGAAAAGTCCAAGGTCAATGCAGAGTGAGCAACTTGTGTATGAGGCATTTATTCTGACTAGAGACCACTGCAAATGGGTTGATTAAACAAGTAACCCACACCTTTAAAACAAATTTAGACATGAGATTGAAATTTCTTAAGTGAAGGTGGTGAAAAGAGTGGCTCGTAAAATGTTTTTTATCTCATATTTAATACTGTAAGGAGCTAATTGTGATCAGTTAATATTCTGTTTGTTTAATCTCTTACTTTGATGAGGAGCAGCGTTCTTGTGTCACTTAAATAGAATTTTACAAACCTAGGTCATGCTGCCATGTTGTCTTCAGTGGGAGCCCTTCCAGCCAAGCAAGACTGTCCTCTCCTGAACTTTAACCTCTGACCTAAATGAGGCCTGTAGGATTTTTTTGACATTTCTCTGAGTACCGACCTCTGACCTTGATGTGAACTTGCAGAGATGTCCATCATCAGCATTTGCCGCTGGTGAATAAACTCTCTGTGTAGACTGATGAACTCTGAACTGTTTTAAAATGACCTTTAACCCTTTACTGATGAGCAGCAACAGTTGCTTCTCTGAGGTCATTACAGATGATGAAGCTGTCAGATCCTGCAGAAGCAGCACGAATGCACTCATCTTTCAGGTTTTTGTTTTGGTTTAATAAATCTGAACACAGGACGGGATGTGTGCCATGTATTGTTCTCTGTGTGTTAGATTTGAATCATTTAGAAATACTGTAAAAATTAAATCATTTTTTATGTCCTGATGGGTAAAATGGTAAATGGCCTGTATTTGATATAGCGCCTTCTAGAGTCCTGGAACCCCTCAAGGTGCTTTACAACACAAACAGTCATTCACCCATTCACACGCTGGTGGTGATGAGCTACATCATAGCCACAGCTGCCCTGGGGTGTACTGACAGAGGCGAGGCTGTTGTACACAGGTGCCACCGGTCCTTCCAGCAGGCAAGGGGGGTTAAGTGTCTTGTCCAAGGACACAACGACAGTGACAAACTGAGCGGGGCTCAAACCTGCAACCTTCCGGTTACGGGGCGAGCACTTAGCTCCTGTGCCACCGTCGCTCACAAACTCTTAATTTCCTTGTCACCATTACAATAAATTCAGCAAAATTGAAAATAAATATGTTGTTTAGAGTGAAAACATGATGTTTATTGAGTTCTCTGCCTGATGTTTGAATAAATTACCCAAATTTAATATAAACTAGTTCTAAATTTTTCTGAACATTGTTCATGATTGAAGAATTAAACAAGTTCAGCAAAGGTGTTTTGATTCCTGCTTTTGTGACCCAGTTTCTGCCAACTTTTCCATTTTTAGTGGGATATCTGCAGCAGATGTTACACAAGAGGACAAAAGTGCTAATTTCATAAGCTAGATGTGTAATTGCAACACTAGGAGAAAGGGTTTGGTTGCAGGACTTTGTCATGGTTGGGGGAATGTGTCTAACCCAAGACAGGCAGAATCACAACTCGAACACAGAAGGATGGAGAAAATAATTTATATTTATTGTAAAAGGGGAACTGAAGGCGCACTGGAAAATCCAGTGGGATTTGGAACGGGAGTGCAGCATCTGGAGAGGGGAGAGCAAACACAGGTGAGTCCTGGAAGGTAAGTCCTAATTAGGAAGGTGCAGAGAAAAGACTTACTGGGAATTGGGGGGAAGAACTGGTGTGAGGGGGGCAGATTGAGAGCCGGGGTGTATCCAAGTGGGGGCTCCAGGAGAGGGAGCATGAGGTGAGCTGGAGAGCGGGTCGGTCAGGGTGAATGGAGAGCGTGTCAGAGCGGAGTCCGGGAATCCTATGGAGCACGAGTGAATAATCCTGGGGCGTTGCAATATCCTGCGACGTCGGGAAAAAACTTGAAGGTAGGTAATCACAAAAATCCAAAATCACAAGAGTTCAAAAACACTAGAGTCTTAAAACCTAGAAACACTTAGAGGGCGAGAAACTACCAAGTGTCATGTTCTGCGGCAAATGTCTAACCTGACATGCAGAATCAGGAGACAGACACAAATTGAAGGGAAAAAATACATATTTTATCAAACGAGGAATTAAGGGTGCAATGGAAGTCCAGCGGGTGAGGAAAACGGGAAGCAGCGTCTAGAGGGAAGAGCAACAGAGGTGAGTACTGGGATTTGTAGTACAAGTGAGGGAAACTGAAGGAGGGACTTACGGTTTGGGAAGATCAGAAGAGCTAGGGAGGGGATGAGCCGGGGTAATAGTCCAGGAGATGAATTGTGAGCGGTCCGACATGGTGAGGGGGGATGTTTCCGAGAGGCCGGTGTGGGGTTAGAGAGGGAGCGGGGCGCGGGGGAGAGCGGGTCGGTCCAAGCGGGTGGATGGTGAACCAGGAAGCGAGCCGGTGTGAGATCCTTACATAGTTGGATGGAAATCCTGAGGTGAAGCCAACCTGAGGTGAACCATCCAAATAAACATCAGTGGTTAGTCGAGGTTACAAATACACATACAAGGGTACAAAATCTAGAGACGAGTTTTCGAAGGCTAGAGACTACCAGTCAGTAGTAATCTTCCGGCGTCGAGTCACGTTCACCATCCTCCTTATGAAGCAGACCTGCTGATTAGCTGACGAGGAACAGCTGTCGCTCCCTCTCCTGCAACCAAACACTCAGAGATGGTGAAAAGTGAGAAGAGTACTCACCCCGGCTCATGACACCAAGCGGTAGCAGTCATCTGGTGTCGAGCTGTGTTCTCCATCCGCTTTATGTAGGAGACCCGCTAGTTGCTGACCAGGTGCAGCTGGAAGACTCCCTCTCCTGCAACACACTCAAGATAGGTTGTTGAGAGGAGTACTCACCCCAGCTCATGACAGACTTTTACTCAAAAAAACAGTAAGTCTTTCCTCCATTCATCCAGTTGGGTCACGGGGGCAGCAGCCTAAGTTGAGAGGCCCAGACTTCCCTCTCCCCAGTCATCATGCCAGCTAATCTGGGGAAACCCCAAGGTGTTCCCTAACCAGCCGAGAGACATATCATTCCAGCGTGTCCTGGGTCTTCCTATGGGTCTCCTCCTGGATGGACGTGCCCAGAGAACCTCACCAGGGAGGCATCCAGAAGGCATCCTGACCAGATGCCCAAGTCACCTCAACTGGCTCCTCTCGATGTGGAGGAGCAGCAGATCTACCCCTAGCCCCTCCCTGATAACCAAACTTCTCACCCTATCTCTAAGTGAGAGCCCAGACACCCTGCGGAGAAAACTCTTTTCGGCCACTTGTATCCGCAATCTCGTTCTTTCGGTCACTACCCAAAGCTCGTGACCATAGTTGGGGGTAGGAACGTAGACTGGTTGGTAAATCGAGAGTTTTGCCTTCCGGCTCAGCTCTCTCCTCACCACGACCTGCAGACGCAGCACCAATCCATCGATCTCACGCTATATCTTTCCTTCACTCGTGAACAAGACCCCAAGATACTTAAACTCCTCCACTTGGGGCAGGACCTCATCCCTGACCCGGTGAAGGCACTCCACCCTTTCCAACTCAAGGGGACTTAGTTTCTACATTTCTAATTTAATGTAGAAACCTGTGTGTGTGTGTGTGTTTGTTGTACAAAATGCACCAAAGCAATATTATTTCTGCCACATTTTTATTGTTCATTGTAAGAAAACAGCATCACCAATACAAAAAACAAACATCCTTTTTGTTTGTGTAGATTACAAATGTAAATGCTGGGCCTGATCCACAGGAAGCACGGATGCTGTGAACAGCAGAAACACTGAGGCATGCCTGAGGGACACCCTCCCTTAAAGTAGCATTAGCTGGTGTCGACTTTACAGATCCACAAAAACAGGCTCCTCATCTGCGCCCGCACAATGATTCAACAGCATGGCTGACACTGAGTTTTATGAAGTGTGAATCCAGGCCCTGAACCTGAGTAACCCAGTGGGTCACCATATAGGTGTTATCTTTCTGTAAGCTGACCCAATTGAAGAGGAGATGAGGCTATTGCATTAGTGGGGAGTTTATAAAGTTTCAGCAAAACATTTTCTTAACTGAGCGGATTTATTACCAGATAACAATCCATTATTGAACAGTATCAGTACCTTTAGGCAAAGGCATGAACATAAGAACTTCACCAACCGAGTGTGTGACGGCAGCGATACGAATCAAAGTCTCAGGCAGATGTGCCGATTATCCAGAAAGATCTTTGTGCAATTTGTTATCCTGAGGTGAAAACTTTAAATGTTCTCAGCTTGCTTCTGTAATACAGCTTACTTGTAGCTTATTTTAAACCCAGTGTTGGTAAGCAGAAGCCAGCAAGTTGCAGAAATATATTGCCTTAGAGCGGGGGTGTTTAACCATGGTTCTCAAGGGCCACCATCCGGCAGGTGTTAGAGGTTTATTCTGCTTCAACACACCTGATTTTAATCAGCCGTTGTAGAGCTCGAACAGGTGATATAACCATTCAATCAGGTGTGCTGGAGCAGGAAAACAACTAAAACATGCTGGATGGTGTCCCTTCAGGACCAGGGTTGGACAGCCCCTCTCAGGGGAAGGCTCTCGGATAAATGCATCCTGTTATGAAGTCAAAGTTTAAACATGAAAATAGGAATAAGGAACAAAATTTCTACAAATATACAAGCATCAAATAAAACTACGGTCAAACAGCAAAACAGTCTAATACACATACACAATTATATATAATATACATACTAAAAGAAACACTTGATTGTAGAAGACTACTCAAGTACAAGTGAAGTACAATCCCCCCTAGGCGGCGACTGTCAGTGTACCATAAAATAAAGATTATTTACAGAGCATTTACAAATGTCCAAAAAAGATCATGTTTGTAGTCCAAAAACATGCACATAATACACTATTTCATTTGAAATATCTATGTGTTCACGTACTGAGATCCACAAAGGATCTATAAGTGTTGTCCACTTTGGCTGGAGGTGTTCACGACACGTAGCGGCAGAACGGTGGGAGGTGCAACTGGGCCGACCCGAAGACAAGGCACCAAGAGAATAATCCCAAAAGGCACAATTACAAAAATTTCATTCTCATTTGCAGTTCATCTCATTTCACAATTTATTAAAAGGCATCCAAAATTTCTAAACAGCAGATAACACGTGAGCGTAGCGATTAGCGCAGCTCGTGTTTAACACGGTTTAGTTACGTTCTCTCAACCCGTTACTGCTTTAAAAATATATTTTGCAATTAGGAGAGAAATGTTTCAACATGTTGCTGGGATTTTAATCTGAAGATCAACATCGACAAGCTACACATGAAGCTAATACCTTGTGCTAGCTAGCTAGGCGGAGTACAGCTGAAAATGAGCAAAGGTCCATAAAAAGGTTTTACATTATGTGACTGGAAATTTATTTATTTTTATTGCTGTTGCCAGCATTTAGCCTGGAAGACTTAAGTCGTTTCATTATTATTTGTCAAATATTTCAGGGGATTTGGTAGTTTGCTGGTTTTGTCTGCGTCTCCATAAAACAGCTAGTGATAGCGTTAGCTTGATATGTAGCATTTAAACAATGAAGATCTCCTTTTTAATCCATTACTTTCCCAAACTGAACTTTTCATTTAAAAAAGCACAATAAAAATAGACAAATTTAACATTCAATTAACATGTAAGGCTGATAGGATAATGATATCAGTATGGCACATCCTTAGACTGTCCAACTAGTACAAATATATGCAATATTTCAAGTTTGAGTCTTCTGTCTGCCTTTAATTCTTTTCTAAACATTCCAAACCAAACTTCTGAAATGTTAACTTCAAAATTATAATAGTTTTCATCATTATTTGTAAATTTAACAGCAAATTATTTGCCATCCGTGGCTGTCTAGCCCTTCATTAAGTGCCTGGTTTATTGTTCCAGCTAAACTCCACACAACCTGAACGACAGAGAGCCTTTCAAGGCCAGATGAGACTTTATCTACATTTCAGGTCTGGCTGTGACAGTAATACTGAAAGCACCGCCTTGCTTCTCGTGCACAGCAGCCAGGATGAAGGAAATGATCCATGAGGCCAGGAGCAGAGCAGTTCTAGGATCGACTCAAGTACAAACGTATGTGCATGCAGACTTTGGCAAGGTTTCTGATTGTTTTCATGCGGAGCAGCAACTTTCACCAAGAATAAAAAAACAGGATTAGATTACAACATAAGTCATTTGAGCTTTTACTTCATGGTTTACTTAAAAATGCATTAAAAAGGTGAAATTTTGATCTATGAGGGTTTCAGCTCCACATGGATATGTGGAGATTAAAATAAAAATGGAAGAAGTGCTTCTTTTTTCATGAAGGACAACACTATGCCTTTTCCGGGCCACGTAGTCCAATCACAGCTCCGAGGCTAGGGTTCTCTTCAGGGCTGGGAAAACTAAGATCTCCATCATGATGAAGACTTCATACTGTCCTAATGGCTCGTTACACCAACCATGTTCTGGACCACCATCCTGTCCGTGTGCCGGAGATGTGAGGACTTTTGCAAAATAAATTAAGCAAACCGGAAATCATGTGGTGGTGAGGGAGACCAGACTCTTAATTAGGAATCCAAAGGAGGACTTTAATGGCCTTTGCTGCCTGGTGGGTTGTGGATCCAGTCCAGAGTGATGAGGGACAAGCTGCCGAACATGAAAACAATTCCCATGATCAGGAAGACCGTTGCCTGGATAGAGAGAGAGAGAGAGAGAGAGAGAGAGAGAGAGAGAGAGAGAGAGAGAGAGAGAGAGAGAGAGAGAGAGAGAGAAGAGTGGGTTGAGTGGGGAGGAACACAGTGGGGGGGGGGGGGGGGGGGGGGGGGGGACTCTCCACAAGGTTGTGTTTTTAAAACTTTATCCACTTCTTCTGGGGAATCAAAAGAGAAACCTGATAGAGTGAGAAAGCAGCTTCCTGCACACTCACCCCGACCTTCTTCGGGGTCGACCTGGGCTTCACCAGGCGGAGGTAGAAGGCAGCAGGTAAGATGAAGATGAGCATCGTGGCGGCAGAACCTCCTGCAACAGAGAGGAGGGAGGGGTTAAAAAACAGTACCTGAGCTGGAGTTCATCAGCCAACCAGAACGGGAGGCAGGAAACGAGGCAAACAGATCATTTGCTGCTGTGGCCCCCAGACTCTGGAACTCTTTCCCCCAGAGCCTGAGATCAGTGGACTCAGTGGTCTCCTTTAAAAAGCAGCTGAAGACTCACCTATTCAGGCTGGTTTTTGCGTGATCTTCATCACAACCCTCTCCTTATTCTGTTCTTAATCCGCCATTCCTGGGATCCATTGATTTCCCTCTTTCCTATTCATTTTCTCTCTCCTTTTTCATATGTTTTTGTGTCCTTTTCTCCTTTTAAATATGTTTAAAATAATTTTAGAAATAATTTTATACTTAAATTTTTTATGTTTTTGTGAAGCATAAATTAAATACTGGAATCAAGAATGCAAAAACAATATTAACTTTAAAAAAAAAGAGATAAAAAATGAAATGATTAACTTATATAGATCTGTTACATAAACGCGTGAGGGGAGGGGGGTTGGGGGGGTGAAAGAAAAAGAAAAAAAGGGAAAAAGTCTATGTATGCATATGTGTATATACTGTATGTATATATGTATATAACTTTATGCTTCTTTCTGTGTAACTTGTTTTCTCTCTTTTTTTCAATTCATGGGTTGAGGTTGTGTCGGCCAACCAGTCCAGAAACTATATTGTCCAAATTTTTTAAGAATCATATGATTGTTTCATTTGTATTAATGTTATTTTAGTTAAAAGGGGCAGATAACATAAGTTTTCCTTCTTTCTGTCCACATTTTCATTTTGGCTTTTAGCAATTTAGTTTAGTATTTTTATTTTAATGTCAATAAACGAAAATAAATTTGAAAAAAAAAAAAAGCACCTCGTGATTTTTATCTTGAGAGGCGCTAAATAAAAGTTTGTCTTCGTCTTGAATGCTGGTACTGCGTTCATTGAAGTTGTTCATTTAAGCTTCTGTATTTTTCTCATGATTTCAGCAGATTTATGCTTTTGCCTGAGGGACTAAAACGGATCTAGTTTAAAGAGAGATCAGGAGCATGATGAGAGCAGCTGTAGCTGTGAGGAGTCAGAACATGTGAGCAGGACTTACCGATGAAGCCGAAGATGTCCCTGATGGTGGGGACGAAGATGACCAGCATGTTGTTGAAGAGTAAGATGGCGGCAGCGATTACCATGTGGCGAATCCAGCTGAAGTCTCGACCACTGAAGAGCAGAGTGGTGATGGAGGAGCGGATCTGTGGGGAGATCACAGACACTGATCAGTCTCTCCGGGAGGAGGCATCAGAGCGACTACGGGGGCCCTCACACCTCGGACACAAATCAAATCTGAGCTGTTTCAAGATTATTCTTAACCTTTAAGAGACAAATGACAGCCTCCATGTCTGTATCAGGATTAGTGTGTTCCTACAACTTCTGCTCCTTTGAATCAAAGTCTTCTGCCACCTTGTGGAAGATCCAAGTTCTGCAGCTTATCAGTGCCAGTTACATGTGAAACTTGAAAAATTAGAATAATTCATTTTAGACTGAGAGACCATCTAAAGGCTCAGGATGCCTTTGCAGGTGTTTAGGATTCATTAGCTGAGTAACATTTGAGTCTAGATTATTGAACCTTTTCACAATAATCTAATCGTCCGAGTTTTTGAATGTGGTTTTCATAAACTGTAATCCATAATCATCCCAATTATAACAACTAAAGGCTGAAATATCTGGAGTTGCAGCTAATGAGTCTATCTAATATATTAATATACATTTTCAGGCTTTATTACTGACATAAATAAACTTTTGCACCATATTCTAATTGTTGGTTTCACCTGTGGCTACTGTTATGAAGGCTGTACTAAAAACTGAATAAAATGTTTTCACATAATTGTTTAACTGACATTAGTTTTGTCTAATCACTGCAACATTCATACATGCGTACCAACTACCCCGGCCTCATGCTCTAATTAAGCTAAACTGTTCTGATGCACCAAAGCAACTTCTGCTGTATTTTTGTAGAAATTTGTCAATTTCAGATAATATTGCTGATTAATTTTTCATATTTTATTAAAACTCCATAAAATACAACTATTTTTATGTGGTTAAAGCCCAAAAACATGGAATTCTGATAAAACCCAGTAATGAAATGTGTCGGTGAATTCTCTTCAGGCTGTTTGTGTCAAAAAATGAATAACTAAAAAAGGAAATTACAGTCTGACATTCTGCTCTTGAAGCACATTCCTTTACCGACTGAAGAGTATATTTGTGTGTGTGTGTGTGTGTGTGTGTGTGTGTGTGTGTGTGTGTGTGTGTGTGAGTGTGTGTGTACAGGAAGGAGGTAAACCATAAGAAGTTGCAGACAGACAGTTTAAGCTTTTACTGGGTAAAAGGTCGCAGGATTCAGGAGAAACCTGAGGCCACAAGACGAAAGGTGAAAAGGGAAGAAGTTGCTATGAAGGCCATTCAGTCAGACGTGTGTGTGTGTGGTGGGGGGTGGGGGGATTATCTCCTGTGGAGCAACAAACCCATGAGGTTGCATCAGCCGCAGAAGAGAGGAGGGCGGAGCTTACCACCAATGGAGGAAGTGAGCCACTTTTGCCTTCTCCCACTTTGTTCTCCAAACTTTTGAGCCTGACTTTAGGATTTTCATTACAGCCAAGAAAAAAAGCCAACTTAAGTTAATTAAGTTGATTTTCTGCTCTGTCAAACTGAACCAAGCGACCTCCCTGATCACTGTCAGGAGGCACGAAAGCGACGATTAAGTTTCTCTGTTTGCTGCCAAAGCCCTGTCACCAGTTGGTGGATCTAGCGTTCCTCCTGAAAATCTAAAGCTGAGTCCTCCATGCAGCTGCAGCAGGAGTCAGTCGGCATGGAAACCTCGAGTTGGATGCTGCATTTCTCTCTGAGGCACTGGGGCTGCTCAGCACCCGTGTGCTACCTTTGGAGTTCATCGTGTTATATTTACACACTTAATATTGACCGAGAACACACACACACACACACACACACACACACACACACGCACGCACGCACACACACGCGCGTGCGTGCGCGAGTTCAAACATGCAAAAATACCCAAAGAGGAAACGTCTGAAAGGGGCTGAAAGTCCCTCTGGATATGAAAACCTCAACAGTTTTTAGACTGATAATAACCAAAAAGTAACACAGGCCTAAAAACAGAGAGTGCCCTCTAGTGGCCAAATTCAGGGCTGCAGCCCAACCAACAAGCTGCTGGTTTGAAGGATTTTACCCACAGGATCACAAAAACCAGACAACTGTACTTCTTAGTTTACACAGACTCAAACAGTCTTCATTTTAAAGCATGAATAACAAACTCTTTAAACCAGTTGTGTCCAAACGTGTAGAGACACGGGTCAAAATTTATTTTTACTTTATTTAACCAGGAAGTTCCCCTTGAGATTAAACATTTTTTTATAGAAATGCCTTAATTTTAGCTGATCAACAATAAATCCCATCATCCTAGATAGCTTTGCTCCTGTTTCTTCGCCTGAGTTAACCAAACTAGTTAACTCTATGAAGACCTCTGCATGCTCCCTCGACATCTTTCCCTCATCTTTGTTTAAAAGTGCTTTTCAGTCCATCGGTCCCAGCGTGCTCTCTATAATTAATGCTTCTCTGGTTTCTGGTCAGGTCCCTGCTTACTTTAAGAACGTTGTAATCCACCCGCTTCTTAAAAAACAGAGTCTTGACGCCTCTCTCCATAGCAGCTTCAGACCCATCTCTAAACTTCCGTTCATCTCCAAAATCTTGGAAAAGGTTGTGGCTAAACAACTCACAGCTGCTCTTGATGAACATAACATCTATGATTGCTTCCAGTCAGGTTTTCGTAGAGCTCATTCTACTGAAACAGCTCTTCTTAGGGTTTCTAATGACCTTCTGACTCACAGTGATGTAGAGGACTGTTCTGTTCTGGTTCTGTTGGACCTGACTGCAGCCTTTGACACTGTTGACCATCACCTGCTACTGGAGAGGCTGAGAGACTGGGTAGGCCTATCAGGATCTGCTCTGGAGTGGTTCTCCTCTTATCTCTCTGAGCTCTCCTTTTCTGTGGCCGTCTCCAAGTTTAGGTCCTCCACCACCTCCCTTACCCATGGTGTCCCACAAGGTTCTGTGCTGGGGCCTCTGCTCTTCCTCCTCTATCTGCTTCCTCTTCAGCACATCCTGAGCTCCTTCAAAGGAATCTCCTACCATCTTTATGCAGATGACATCCAGCTGTACATCTCCGTTAAGCCCCATGAGATGTCTAAGCTGCAGCTGTTACACACCTGCTTAGACTCTATCAAAACCTGGATGGCTGGGAGCTTTCTACAGCTGAATGAAGATAAGACTGAGATCCTCATCTGTGCCCCAGACAAGCTGGTTCCCAAAGTCAGAGACTCTCTTGGTCAGCTTGCTTCTCACACCAAACCTTCTGTCAGGAATCTTGGCGTGACCTTTGACCCAGCCCTCACCCTGGATTCTCATGTCAGTTCTCTTGTTCGCTCTTCCTTCTTCCATCTCAGGAACATTGCTAAGCTGAGTCCCATTCTGTCCCGCTCTGAACTTGACACAGTTATCCACACCTTCATCTCCTCACGCTTAGACTACTGTAACTCTCTTTTCACGTGTCTGAGCAGAACCTCCCTGAACCGTCTACAGGTGGTTCAGAATGCCTGTGCTCGGCTTCTGACCAAGTCCTCCAAACACACCCACATCACCCCGCTTCTCCTCCAGCTTCACTGGCTGCCAGTCAACTTCAGGGTTCATTTCAAGAACCTGGTTCTGGTCTATAGGGCCTTACATGGACAAGCACCATCTTACATTGGTGATCTTCTTAGTCCCTACACCCCCAGCAGGTCCCTGAGGTCCAGTGATCAAAGCCTACTAGTTGTGTAGCGCACCAGGCTAAAGACCAAAGGTGACAGATCATTTGCTGCTGTGACCCCCAGACTCTGGAACTCTCTCCCCCTGAGCCTGAGATCAGTGGACTCAGTGGTCTCCTTTAAAAAGCAGCTGAAGACTCACTTGTTCAAGCTGGCTTTTGTATGACCTTCTTCATCACTCTCTCTTTATTCTGCTCTCCCCACCTTTTCCACCTTCCTCAGGATCCACTGATTTCCCTCTTTCCTATTCACTCTCTCTCTTTCTTAACATTTTTTAATCACAATTGTCTATTTTTTGCACATTTTAAATATATTTGTACCATTTTCTAAATTATTTATTATATTTTTACATTTTTTGTTTTTGTGAAGCGCCTCGCGATTTTTATCTTGAGAGGCGCTATAGAAATGATATTTTCTTCTTCTTCTTATAAAATAAACACATAATGAACAAGAACAGGCCTTGAATCACGTTTCCATCAGTCATGTTCGCTTGATTTAGTCCAGTTTTAGGATTTTTTTTAGTAAGTCAGTGTTTGTGGTTATAATTACTGTAAAATTAGACTTGATTAAAAATCTGGTAACTGAAAGAGCTCAACTGAATTGGATTGAAGCAAAAACCATATTTTAATTTATGTGCATTGTCGTTCATCTTTATATGAGTAAAAAAATCTGAACACAAGACCGTTGAAAAGGGTTTATCCGTATCAGCTGGAGTCATCGTCACAGATACTCTTCTATCAGAACAATAAAAACAAAATAAAGATTGGTTTGGGGCCAAAAACAGAAAAGAACCACATTAAACAAGAGATCTGAGGTTTTGTTCCTCCAAAGACGTGACTCATTCAACTGAGATAGCTCACATTAAAGGGATACTACGCAACTTTTTCATATTTTTTATATTATGTGCTAAAATGACCCTTTAAAGGGTTAATGAAATGTCACTCAGGCCCCCACCACCCTCTGTGGCCAGAATACTGCATTTGCAACTTTAGAGTGCCGGTCCAGTCTGGTTCCAGCTTGTTTCCTGTTTGTTTTAGATCATGAACGCAGCAGATTTTTTTCATTTAGTGATGAACGCTCCTGTAGACACTAATAAAGGCTGGGGAGTTATTTCATCTGTTAGACAAAGGTGTGAGGAGACAGGTTTTGTTTTTGGTTCTACTAAACAGACACTAGGGGGTGCTAAAAGCAAGCCAAAACTGCCTAGCTTCCATTTAATAGAGTCCTCCTCACTACAGTTTAAAAGCCCGGTACTCAGCACTTTTCAGCTAAAGGTCCAGTAGGCCTTTTCACCACAACCTGGATGACAGAAATCACTGGAACGTTGTTTAGTTTAAAGAATTTCAAATAAATAATTTCCAAATGTTAGTCAAAAGTATTTTTAAAATCCTTAACTACAACTCCTGGTACATGATGCTTCACAGATCGTCGACTCACAGACAGAAAGTCTTTCTAGTGTTTATTTATGATGTTGGAGGTGAGTTTTGTGCCGCCCTGACTTTTAGTCTCCAGCTGGAGCCTGAGAACTGGGATGTGTCTGACTCCACATAAAGCCTTCTCATTATGTCCTAGATCCTGGCAAAGCCCTGTGTGATCTGAGCCCTGTTAGAGTCCATCTTTCACGTGACTGCACACACACACACTCTGGGGCCAGCAGCAGACCATGTTAACAACAGTCTCTCAGAGGGAAAAACTGAAGACCAGAACCAGAGTTCACACTGAGACAAAGCAGGTATTTAGGTTTATTACTGTACACGCCGTTTTTATCTGGTTCTCCTTCCTGTTGCAGCTGATATACCACAGGAACTGGGTAGCTCATGTTACTGACTCACAGGAACAGGTGATTCACTGAAACAGAGGCCCAATCCCAACACTCGCCCTGCGGTCTTCAGTAATGTGCACTTGGAGAAAGTGTGCAGTAAGGCTTCGGGTGCGTGGTACACAAGTGTGCAAATTATTGCCGAATTGAGACGGGGAGCATCGCATCATCGTTCGCAATGCATGCGGGGATGCTGGTCGCTATGATACTTAAAAAAAAACTTTATGAACAACTTTCAAACAATTATTTGCTGCTTTGTCTAAAAGTTTTAGAGCATCAACTAATTGTCCAAAAATCAACTACTTTCATTAGAAAATACAGATTTCAGAAAAGGAACTTGAGCCTTTTCTCCCACAGCAATAGATTGTGGGTAATACACTTCATCGATGCAGACTTGGGTGAAGTGCGGATCAAGGGTGCAAAGGGGTGTGATCAACTTCCGCACTTGAGAATTGGGACACCCTACGCACTCGCACCCCTGGTCAGAATCGCGCATTTGAAGGGTGCAAGTGTGGAAGTGAGAATGTAGGGTTTGGGCCTGACTCATGCAAAGCAGCTGCTGCCTGCAGGTGTTTGCACACTAAACCAAATTGTCATTTTGTGTGTATTATTTTGAGTTCAGCCACTGATTCATTATGGCAAAAAACTACTAGGCTAGAATGTTGTAGCTAGTGTAATTAGCCACAGCTGAAAGCAGCATGCTCACCTAAAATAATCACTTAGACCATTTAGCAGTGTGAGTCCATCAGGGGGTCAGCTCATGTTAGATGTTTTGGAGATAAAGCCAGAGAAGACAGACTGGTTTGGACATGTCCAGAGGAGAGACAATGATGACATAGTTAGAAGGATGCTGAGGCTAGAGCCACCAGGCTGGAGGCATAGAGGAGGTTTATGGGTGTGGTGAAAGAGGATAAGAACTTGGTGGGAGGGTAGAGCATGCAGAAGATGGGACTAAATGGAGACAGACGATTGGCTGTGGAGACGCCTGAAGGACTGTTTGTAAGACAGCCTAACATGTACCATGTAAATAGATGGCTCAAGTTCCTTTATTCGCTAATTTAAGTATTTTTTAGAACGGCAGCAACAGTGCTAAAGGATCATCAAACTACCCAGCGGTTAAGAGAGGAATTATTTACTATTTTACACAGAAACACTTGAGAGTGGCTAAAACATCTCCTTAAGTTCAATAGTTTGATAGAGTGGTGTGTTAATGTTAGTAAGTTAAAACAGAGCTGGCATATTTTTGCATCACACACCGTTTCTGATGATTTCTCAACCCGACTTTGAAGAACCAACACCCCTGGGTGGAGGTTTGTGAGATTAGATATGCTGAGGACTGTACACCCCCCACCCCTCCCTATCTCTGCCGCTCTCTCTATTTCACCCAAGGTCAAGGTGAGGGATTTTCCACTCTCCGTTTGGACTGAAAACACCCGAGCTGCTGAAGTCAGGAGGATGAAACCTCCCACATCAACTCTGACAGAAATAAAATTGATAAAAAGTGGAAGACGTGTTGAGATCAGGTAGACGCCAACAGCAGCTGTTTGTCTTCATGTATGCATGCATAAAACATCCCCGCAGGCATTCTGTGTGTGTGAGAGGGAACCAGTCTGTATGCCAGCTGTGTCTTTCCACACGCTGAACATCAAAGAAGCTGCTGACCCCTGGTGGTCATTCTCTGATACTACACCACCCACAAAAAGGTTAGTCTTCATAACAAGATTTTTCAGGTCTATATTGAAATTACATTTATTTAGTAAATTAGGTAACAGAATTCAGGTTCAGCTTTCAAGCTTGAAAGAAACTACAGTTAATCATTTAAGTTGGTGCAATTTAGCTGACTACAGTGTAACATAAGTCTATTTATAATACTAGAACCAACAGTGTCCTTAATGCAGCCTGCAGGCTATTTTCATATAGTGTGAAAATCCAGAGCCGTAGAAATTTGACTTGTTATTGCACACAGACAGCTTTTTATCTTTTTTTAACTTTAACAAGAAAAACAATTCGAATCTTCTTAGAGAGGAAAATGTTAATACGGTCTTTTATCAACCACAGTTTTGACTTGCTTCAATTTCAGTTTTGAAACGTTTAGACACCACTAAAATAGACTATCACAACACAATTGGCCTATTTAGGATAATAAATACCATTGGAGTTTAAAACAAACACAAAAACCAACTAAATGAATTAGATCAGTAGAAAACACAGATAGCCAGCACTGCTATAAAAGTAGAGAAGAGCTGCTAGTGTGAAGTGTGTGCTTGTTTGTGGGGTAAAAGAAAATAATGGATGCAAAATTTAATTGATGCACCATATGCCACCAGTGTTTTGCCCTTGTTCTGCCATCTTGCACTGACTTTTAAAAACACCACAGGATGCAGGTGAGAGGTGGATGTAGGACTGGACAATATCTGGAGAATTTTAAAATGTTGATACATTTTCAAACAACATTGCCACACATGGAATTTAAATGATTTTACATAGATTAATATATTATTACTAAAAGTGCATGTGAGATATATGACTTGTTCCTTTGACTCTTAGTTGATAAAGAAAAATAATGAGCTCTATGTCATTTATCAGAACAGAAAATATCGAGCTATCAGTTTTGGTCCGTATCACCCTGCCCTACGTCAGCCAGAAGACAGAAAGTGCTGATTTCATCAGTTTTGTGAGACGAAACAGAAACACACATCACATCTCTAAAGATGGCGTGTGTCAGTGTCTGAAAACTAAAAGGAGGCAGGAAACTTCAACTGAGCAGCGTCCCTTTTTGTTCTCCTGGAGCCAGAGAGTGGGGACACGCTAAAATTAGCCCACAACCATCTATGGAGGGAAGGCAGAGGAGCAACGTACGTGTGAATGGATGTAAGACGATGAGGTTTGGGGACTGCAGATGATACGCAGGGTGACCTTTGAACCAATCCTGACCCAAAGCATCACCAGAATGAATGTGAGTGTGTGTGTTGCTGTAATAACGACACGTGGTCTCCGGTTTCAGGATGACGGCATAAGAACTGAACAGTGTGTTCTTTTTTCACCCAAACTGGAAGAAAACAAACATCACAGTCCCAAAAAATAAAAAAAACCCTGAAAAGTCTGACTGTGCAGGAAAAACAAAACACAGCCTGTTGGCAGGATCACACACACACACACGCACGCACGCACGCACGCACGCACGCACACACACACACACACACACACACACACACACACACACACACACACACACACACACACACACACACACACACACACACTTATGTTTAACCTTTACAATAGTGGTGTGTGTACTGACATAATGGAATGACACCACTTCTTAAACAGGCTCCGTTTAGCGATGCCCAGAAATGACGACGCAAGAGATGTAATCTTTTTTTATGAGTTTTCTGCTTTCCAAATGTGTTCCTGAAAGACCACAGAAAACACACTCTCACACACACACTGCGTGTTGAACTCACCGGGAAAAGCACGATGGGAACAGTCAGCGTGACGGCGGTGAGGACGGCCAAACGCACCAGCAGCAACAACGTGTCAAACTTATAAACTTTGGTGAAGGTGTGAAGTAACTCTGCCTCCACGTTTTCTGCAACAGGACAAGAAACAAGTGTCGACATGAACAAAAGATTGCTTGTCATGCATTTTAGTTTGTATCTGGGGAGGATTGTTGCTCTTACCGTAAAACGTGAGGTAGCCAAACAGAGCTGAGAGCATGTACATGATCAGCATGGCAAGGATGGACAGGTTGGACACTGTCTGCATTTTCTTAGGGGTACGACTGAAAACAACAAGATTTTTATTTTGTTTTTTTTAGTAACAAGCCTCTAAGCTCTGTCCTCACGAGGAGAAGTGGACTTACTCTTTCAGCTCGCTGTAGATCGGCAACACCTCGGGGTGGCAGACGAAGGCAAAGGCCAGGATGGGGATGGTGTAAGCCGTCTGACATCAAATGACATAATAAACAAATTCACCACATGCATTATTCAACATTAGAAATGCATTGATTCTGGTTCTGATTCATCTGAGTTACAGCTAAATTACTGCTCAGCCGTATTACTTAGCAATGATGCATTCAAGGACCAAATAAAACAATCTGAATGTGGAGCTTCAGATTGAATCTGACCTTCTGCTAAATCTCAGCTGTATTTATTAGCGTCACAGATTGTTGTCTCCCTTCCCAATATGGCTGACACAGCCAACCTATTGACCCTTTGCACGTGACGTCACGCCACTCATGTGACCGCCCCCTTCGCCATGATGGACGGCAACAAGACCGTTTACACCCGTAGAAACTCCAGTAAAGGTAGTCAAAACAAGCCAGTTTGTGGCCTTTTATCGCTTTTATTTAGTTGATTGGACAGTAAAATGGTTTTAGCTTGCTGCGTGGTTGGCTGCACTAAGTTAAAGTTAAAGTTAAAGTCCCATTAGCTGTCACACACACTGATGTGTGTGCGAAATTTGTTCTCCGCATTTGACCCATCCCCTGGGGGAGCGGTGAGCTGCAGACACAGCCGTGCTCGGGAACCATTTGGTGGTTTAACCCCCCAATCCAACCCCTTAATGCTGAGTGTCAAGCAGGGAGGCATTGGGTCCCATTTTTTCAAAGTCTTTGGTATGACCCGACCAGGAATCGAACCCCTGATCTCCCAGTCTCAGGGAGGACACTAAACCACTGAGCTGGTTAGAGACAAGGACGTAAACGCAACTCGTTTTTTATTTTTAATAACTTTGATGGAGACTGAGGACGGAGATGAACTGCACTGATCAATCAATCAAGCGGACTAGCAGGCCTCAGATTTAGAGCGAACATGTTTTTACCGGGTAAGATTAACGTTTATTTATTTCACGAGGAAGACAGGGACAGGGATAAATGTGATGTGTTTATACTAGTTATTGATAATCCTGATGGATGGGTATTTCACCACGGAGGCTGCGTTCCGTCCACTGTAGTGCAAAGTGAGATAATTATTAACAATATTAAAGCTCCAATGTATGATTACGTGTGTTAAAATTACGTTATTTATTTAAATAAGTGTCGGCGTTCAGAGATATTCTCAATTTGGTGTGAGAGCAGCAGCTGAACCCGGTAACACCACCAGCAACAGAAGCTGGTAGGTGTTCGGACCTTTTAAAAAATCAGCTTTGGTGTAAAGTGAAATGCTGTTTACAACATAAAAGTTTATAAATCCAGAGGGGTGAATTTAGGCAAAGTCAGCAACAGGTTTACATCGGTGAACAGCTGCAGAGAGAACGTAAGCTAACGTTGGTAAGCTAGTTAACATACCGCTCTCTATGAGCCCCGGCTAGATGCGCTACTTCGTCTTCGTCTTCCTCCGCTTATCCGGGTCCGGGTCGCGGGGGCAGCATCCCAATTAGGGAGCTCCAGGCCGTCCTCTCCCCGGCCTTGTCCACCAGCTCCTCCGGCAGGACCCCAAGGCGTTCCCGGACCAGATTGGAGATGTAACCTCTCCAACGTGTCCTGGGTCGACCCGGGGGCCTTCTGCCGGCAGGACATGCCCGAAACACCTCCCCGGGGAGGCGTCCAGGAGGCATCCTGACCAGATGCCCAAACCACCTCAACTGGCTCCTTTCGATCCGGAGGAGCAGCGGTTCTACTCCGAGTCCCTCCCGAATGTCCGAGCTCCTCACCCTATCTCTAAGGCTGAGCCCGGCCACCCTACGGAGGAAACTCATTTCGGCCGCTTGTATCCGCGATCTCGTTCTTTCGGTCATTACCCAAAGCTCATGACCATAGGTGAGGATTGGGACGTAGATCGAGAGCCTGGCTTTCTGGCTCAGCTCCCTCTTCCCCACGACAGATCGGCTCAGCGTCCGCATCACTGCAGACCAATCCGCCTGTCGATCTCCCGATCCCTCCTACCCTCACTCGTGAACAAGACCCCGAGATACTTAAACTCCTCCACTTGAGGTAGGACCTCTCCCCCGACCCGGAGGTGGCAAGCCACCCTTTTCCGGTCGAGAACCATGGTCTCAGATTTGGAGGTGCTGATCCTCATCCCAGCCGCTTCACATTCGGCCGCGAACCTACCCAGCAAGAGCTGAAGGTCAGAGCTGGATGAAGCTAGGAGGACCACATCATCCGCAAAAAGCAGAGACGAGATTCTCCTGCCACCAAACTTGACACACTCCACACCACGGCTGCGTCTAGAAATTCTGTCCATAAAAGTGATGAACAGAACCGGTGACAAAGGGCAGCCCTGGCGGAGTCCAACCCTCACTGGGAACAGGTCCGACTTACTACCGGCTATGCGGACCAAACTCACGCTCCTCTGGTAAAGGGACTGAATGGCCCTTAACAGAAAGCCACCCACCCCATACTCCTGGAGCGTCCCCCACAGGGTGCCCCTGGGGACACGGTCATAAGCCTTCTCCAAATCCACAAAGCACATGTGGATTGGTTGGGCAAACTCCCATGCCCCCTCCATCACCCTTGCAAGGGTATAGAGCTGGTCCACAGTTCCACGGCCAGGACGAAAACCACATTGCTCCTCCTCTATCTGAGATTCAACTATCGATCGGACCCTCCTCTCCAGTACCTTGGCGTAGACCTTTCCAGGGAGGCTGAGGAGTGTGATCCCCCTATAGTTGGAACACACCCTCAGGTCACCCTTCTTAAAGATGGGGACCACCACCCCGGTCTGCCACTCCCTAGGAACTGCCCCCGATGACCACGCAATGTTGTAGAGACGTGTCAACCATGACAGCCCTACAACATCCATAGCCTTGAGATACCCAGGACGAACCTCATCCGCCCCCGGGGCTCCGCCGCTGTGTAGTTGTTTGACTACCTCAGCAACTTCTGCCCCCGAGATCGGACAGTCCATCCCCAGGCCTCCCAGCTCTGGTTCCTCCTCGGAATGCGCATTGGTGGGATTGAGGAGCTCCTCAAAGTATTCCTTCCACCGTCCGACTATAGCCTCAGTTGACGTCAGCAGCTCCCCATCCCCACTGTAAACAGTGTGAGCGAGTTGCTGCCTTCCTCTCCTGAGGCGCCGGACAGTTTGCCAGAACCTCTTTGGAGCCGATCGATAGTCTTTCTCCATGGCCTCACCAAACTCCTCCCACGCCCGAGATTTTGCCTCGGCAACTGCCACTGCTGCACCCCGCTTGGCTATCCGGTACCTGTCTGCTGCCTCCGGAGACCCACAGACCAGCCACGCCCTGTAGGCCTCCTTCTTCAGCCTGACTGCTCCCCGAACTTCTGGTGTCCACCAGCGGGTACGGGGGTTGCCACCACGACTGGCACCGGCCACCTTACGACCACAGCTAGCAACAGCCGCCTCGACAATCGCAGAGTGGAACAAGGCCCACTCGGACTCAATGTCCCCCACTGCTCTCGGGACGTGGTCAAAGCTCTGCCGGAGGTGGGAGTTGAAGACCGTCTTGACAGGTTCTTCTGCCAGGCGTTCCCAGCAGACCCTCACTATGCGTTTGGGTCTGCCAGGTCTACGCGGCATGTTCCCTTGCCATCTGATCCAACTCACCACCAGGTGGTGATCAGTTGACAGCTCCGCCCCTCTCTTCACTCGGGTGTCCAAAACATACGGCCGCAGGTCAGATGATACGACTACAAAATCTATCATCAACCTGTGACCTAGGCTGCCCTGGTACCAAGTGTACCGGTGGGCATCCTTATGTTCAAACATGGTGTTCGTTATGGCCAAACTGCGGCTTGCACAGAAGTCCAATAACAAAACACCGCTCGAGTTCAGATTAGGTGGGCCGTTCCTCCCAATCACACCCCTCCAGGTCAAGCTGTCATTGCCCACGTGAGCATTGAAGTCCCCCAGCAGGACAATGGAGTCCCCTGATGGAGCACTATCTAGCACTCGTCCCAGGGACTCCAAAAAGGGTGGGTACTCTGAACTGATATTTGGCCCATAAGCACAAACAACAGTCAGGACCCGTTCCCCGACCCGAAGGCGCAAGGAAGCTACCCTCTTGTCCCCCGGGGTAAACCCCAACACACAGGCAGAGAGTCTCGGGGCTAACAAAAAGCCAACCCCAGCCCTCCGCCTCTCACCCGGAGCAACTCCAGCAAAGTAGAGTGTCCAACCCCTCTCCAGGTCTCGGGTTCCAGAGCCAATGCAATGTGTCGAGGTGAGTCCGACTATATCTAGCCGGTACCGCTCAACCTCTGCCACAAGCTCCGGCTCCTTCCCCGCCAGCGAGGTGACGTTCCATGTCCCAAAAACTAGTTTTCTTGTCCGGGGATTGGACCGCCAAGGCTCCCGCCTTGGTCTGCCACCCGATTCGCATTGCACTGGACCCTTCATGTTCCGTAGCCCCGGCTAGATGCGCTACTTCTTCTGATAACTGAACTGGACATGAACTAGTTGAAGGAATGCTGGAGGAGTTCTGTTTTTGTTTTGATCGCAAAAACAATTTCAGGCTCCACTTTTCCCTTTGTTTAGTAATCGTGCCGCTCACTGTTCACATGCTTTTGCCGTCCACCATGGTGGACCCACGTGATTAGGTGACGTTGGTGCAAAGGGTCAATAGTGCCAGTGTGAGTGTGATTTATAAATCAGTGAGCTAGGACAGAAATGGAAAGTTCTGTAGGCAATTTCAACATTTGTGCTAAAACATATTAACAGGCCCTTTTATCCCAGCAGCAGCAGCTACCTGCCTGCCACTACATGCAATCCCCAAAATTAATAATTTTGATGCATTTTTAATTTTTTTCCCCTCATATTCATTCTGTTGCAAAAAAAAAAGATTATTTTTCACAGTGCAAACTACTCTCCATTTAACCTAGAAACACATCAGGAGTTAAAGCAAAGTTAGCCGATATTCTTTAACATAAATAAAGCTGCTGGTTTTTATTTTCTTTACTCACATTAACTAATTTATTGTCAGAGACGTTAACTCTAGCTGAAACAGTCAAGATGCTCCTTAGCTCCTGTGAACCAGTTTATTATAACTAACCTTTCGTCCTCCATGGGAACTGAATGCTCCGTGTCATATTCTTATCATGATTTATGATCGTATATAAGCCCTGACACCCATCCCTTAGCACACACACACGCACGCATGCACGCACACACACACACACACACAGACTCTAAAAATCTCCACCCTCTCCAGACATGTCTTGGCAAATACTTGTGTTGGATTAGCAAATTTTCTACTGAATTAACTCCTGAACTTCAGTTTTATTATTTTCATTAACTTTGACTTTAATCTACAGAAAACACTTAAGAAATTAACCAAAGAACCAAATTAAAATAAAAGCTATCAAACAAGCTTACTTTGTCCTTAAAAGGAGCCCCCCCCCCCCCCCCCCCCCCCCCCCCCCCGCCACACACACACCTGTGAATTGAAGACAAAGTATTTGGGTGTGCACATCTCCTCGTCGCTGGGGTGAGGCTCGAAGCGGACTCCTGTGGAGTGAGGGGTGTTCTGGCTGCTGTGGATGACCGGGGAGACGTCGGCCCGGGAGAAGTCCATCTGCGTGGAGCTGTTTCGTAGCACATAAAGGCCTGACATGTCAGAGGAGTTCATGCTGAGGTTGGACGAGGGCCCGTAGAAGAAAGGAAGAGGGCACGGGAGCTGCGTCTTCTTGTAGATGACCTGAACAAGACACAAGCAGAAAATGGAATTTCGGATTTGCTCCTCAAACAGTCAGATCTTTAACTCTTGTCTCAGTTAACCAGCAGTTAAATTCACATTTAGTTTGTGAACATTTAGCTAATATTAAATTTAAACAATGACATGAATTTTAAATACAATTTACCGCCACAATTCTTTTTATAATTCCAGCTCATCAAATCTTCCTCTAAAAATAACATTTTTTAGCAGGTGTCTGAGAGGAGCGCTGGTTTTGGTTAAACATCTGGTAACAGGCAGGATGTTGTCACAATGCATTGTGGGTAATGTGTGCTTATCTGAAACATGCAACACCAAAACAAAGCAACACATATCAGCTTTGTCTTTCATACCAGTTTCAGAGGGCCTCTTTTGTTGATGAATGCTGGGGTTTTAGCTAGGATCATGCAGAATCCCACAAAATACCCAAACATGGTGTTCAGTCCTCCAGCCACCAGAGTTTGGGTTAAATGACACATTTCATGCTCAATATTTGTAAAATGGATCGAATTGTGGACGTTTATTTTTTATTTTTTGGCAAAGTTGTGGCAGCCATCTTGAATTGAGTTGACTTCAAAAACGAACCAGTTGTAGACGCTGATCCAATGGTTACGATCAATCTAGTGATTCATGATACATTTGGCTAAAAAAATGGTTGACTCCTGTTAGAAATAGTAGAAATTTGGCAAAGTTTTAAAAATAATCTTGAAAATAATCTCTTTATGGGAGAATGTGAAGAAAGATTTATATATTCTGATCGTAATCCTGATAGAATCCTCAGGTGAGGAGGATATATTGATGGCATTATTCTGCTTTGGTCTGGGTCAGAAACTGAACTTCTTTCATTTCATTCATACCTAAACAATACTAACAAAATTTTGAAGTTTAATTTAGACTTTACCTCATCCCAAATTAATATTTTGGATCTTGTTATCTCTAAAGGAGCCAATGGGGATCTACATACCTCTACCTTTAGAAAATGACAGACTGTAATCCAATCCCTAGAGCAGATAGCTTTCATCCACCATGGCTTAAAAACAATATTCCTTTTGGCCAACCTCAGAGACTTAAACGCATCTTTGATACAGAAGTAGACTTTGAAAGTAATGCCCGAGATATGTGCCAGAGATTTAAAGCAAGAGGCTATCAACAAGGAGCCATTAACAGAGCATATAATAAAGCAAAATATCTCCCTAGAGAACAATAACTAACCTCTAAAGAAAAAGATCAACCAATTTCTACTCAACTATTCTGTGTAACACAATACAGCAACCATGTTGAGAAGTGCTAGTGTTCTTAGAGAAGCCCTTCCAGCTGCTCCATCCATTAGCTTCCGATGAGCTCCAACTTTAAATGATAAACTTGTCAAAAGTCATCTCTCTCCTCAACCAAAGACCTGGCTATCTACCAGAAAAGGAAATCATAAAAGTGGACATTGTTATCACTGCAATAATACGACCAATGCTAACTGCTTTACTGTCATCTTTTCTGGACGTAGGTTTTACATCAATTCATTCATCACTTGCAAAACATCATTTGTTGTGTACAGACTTGAATGTCCATGTGGCTGTTTCTACGTAGGGAGAACCAAGCGCAAACTTAAAGAGCAAGTCGCCCCCAAATCAACTATTTTTTTCTGATAAACTATATAAATGCATGTCTAATTGTGCTGCAGACACGTGTAGTCAATAGTTTTGCACTTTAGTGCATGTTAGTTAAGATTTAAATTTTCTGCCTGAAACTGTCAGTGTTGTGCCGTTGTCCGGTAAAAACTCTTCACTGCATTTGAATTTAAATCTGCCATCGCTATTGGCTAAGGGGTATGCTATGATGTAAACTGGTACATTATGATGTCACAATGTCGTGAGTGTGTGTATTTGTTAGTGGCTCCACCCTCTCGGTCTGCTAGGTAACAGCATTTGTTGCATTTTTCAAACATGAAGTGGGAGTGAAGTACGCTTCTTGTAAAGGGTGACTTGCTCTTTAAGACAAGACTGGCTGAACACAAATATGCAATTAGAGCTGGTAGTCCTCTATACCCCATGGCAGTACATCACACAGAAATACATCATGGAAGCTGTGACTCTTAAAATTTCAGGTATTGAGCAAATCAAAGACAATTAGAGGAGGAGACAGACTTAAGAAGCTCCTTCAAAGAGAATACTTTTAAAAGCCACATGCCATCCAGGTTTGAATGGTGAAACAGATTTTCAGTGGTTATTTTTCTACAGTTTAGAATACATCTTACTTTGTACTGATCACTTTGTTTACACTTAATGTTTTTATTTTAATTATCCAGAAAGACCAATCGTGTGACTTCCTGTCAGCTCAACAAAACAGCTGAAACTGATTATTCTAGTAAGCAGACAAACAAACATTTATTGTCCTGATGAAGGCCAGCGTGGCTGAAACTAGTAGTTATGTTTTTATTTGATTAGCCATGGAATATTAAAGGCTTTCTAACTATTTTCATCCTCCTGAGTGCCTCAGATCCTTTTTTTTTCTTCTTCTTTTTTTTTTTTAAATAATCTTGATTATTAAACTCAGATTTTTCTCAGCAAACACAAATCCATAATTTAGACCAGTATCTGTAATTTTGACTATGCATTTGCCTTTTTCCATTTGTTTTAAGTCAGGTTGCTGGTGATAATAACTGAATGTGGAGACGGAGTCATGACTGATTTGTGTCAGATGGCTAAAATCCTCTGAGGAACAGAACCCGGTGTGATTGGCTGTTAGCTTGACTCCTCCCTGATTTTCCCACCTGAGATCATTCTGACTGGTCTTAGTAAGATGATAGCTACCTCTCTACAGAAACCCACTTCCCAAAACCTGAACTAATCCTCTAAAACATCCTGAAAGGCCATGGCACCGACTACTGAGGGAGAACTTACTGCAGTCAGGAAGAAAACCATGCAGGATAGGGAGAACCCACTGGTGTAGCCCAGGTAACCTAAAAGAAGGGTTCAAAACAAACATGTTAATAACTTCAAGTTAAACACAGTTCTGGTAGATCAAGCTGTCATAAAGTTTTATGTTTTATCTGCATGAGCGGACCTGGGAAGTGCAATCATAAATCTAGTCTGAGTGGTGGAGCTGACTGCAAACCTCATGGCCGTGTTATGTTACCATAACCCCATAGCCGGCAGAGCTGACTAAGGGCTGGACCGGTGTCTCGTTGCATCTGGTCTGGTGGAGCCGATTATGGACAGCAGCAAAAACTAGAAACACCAGGAGATTTGGTGTCAGGCAGCAGCGGGCTGGGTCTGTAGAGGGGACTCTTACCCAGATTTTTGAGGAGAGACAACGGCAGAATGACCCCGAGTGACACGAACACAACCAGGTAGTTGCCATTCAGGTACCATTCACTGCAAACACAGCACAGGTTTAAAGGCACAGGTAAAATAGGGTTTATATAGGGTTTAACTTGTTTAACCTTTGAGAGCACTCACCCTGAGATTTCTTCTAAACCCATGAAGGCTCTGATGACTTCAGGAAGCTCATACTTCACAATAAAGAGGTAGCTGGACATGGCTGCAAGAGGACAAAACTAAATAATAAATGACTCCTACACAGAAAGTACCTCTATGCCAGGCGTACTACTATTTATGTATATTATGATCTGTGTTTACTTTGTGTGTTTGAGGGGCATAATGGTAAATAATGTTTTGCCCTCGCTCTACCATCTTTACAGGATGTGAATTTTTGCAAAAACATTTGTGACCAGTTACAATCTGAAATATAAATCTGATAAATTGCACAGTACTACCACTAATTGCACCTGTTCACACGTGTACTTTGGCGATTTATTTTTACCTCCGATGTTCTGCATGATTATTGAGCCAAAGGCGGCCATTTTTCCTGGCCAACCAAATGCCTTCTCTCCCAACTTCTCATAAATGAGGGATCCTGCACAGAGAAAACAAGGAGAATCATCTAGAGAGGAAAGTCAGAATTCATATAAAATATCAACGTTTCCCTGACCACTAGCTCTTATAACTGGAAAGGACTCATTTAGAACATCGTCATTAGACATTGGGGGCTGTAAGCTGATCTTGCAGCACCTTTGAATTTAAATACCAACCTCCTTCCTTGGACGTCATGAGGAGCAAATGTACAGAGTATAAGGACAGGATGGCCACAGCAATGAGGAGGATTCTGCACAGAGGAAGCCAAAAACTCATTAACATAGTACCAGAGGATCCACAACATGTATTTTGTTGTCTTTTCATTTTAATAAGAAACAGTAAAGGGACACCCTGCAGCTGCTGCTCGGTGATGAGCGTCGTGAGACGCCATGTTCTTTCAACTTTAGCCTGATGACCCGTGTTGAGTCATGCCAGTGCTGCGTGAACTCACCCAGTCACTGCGTTCTAAAGATGGCACGCTGTCTGTCAGTGGGAGGGTGGGGTTGGAGGGGGGTGTACTGGAAGTACTGGAACAGAGCAGTTACATCTGGACTGCCTCCAGCAGTAAATATAAACCTCTCTCTAGTTTTTATTTCCAGCTAGATTTTATTCCTGGTGCTGAATCTGCAGCAGTGTAACAAGCAGCAGCGGTGTTTTAATGGAGCGGTTTACTCATTTAATCAATACATTTGCAGTGGGCTCTAGAAGGAATGAATGCCTTGTAAGTCGCTCTCTAGGGGTGAGACGCCATGTTCTTTCAACATGGGGGTGGGTGGGGGGGGGCGCACCAATTCTAGGAACCAAAAGTTACCCACATCACAGGTTTTGGAGGAGCTTCAGCTGTGTGGTGAAGTTGCCAATGATAACGGTTAACTTAAACTAGCCAAGACGTCCGCTGCTGATTGCTGGACGTTAAAACAACAACAACAACTTGTCACGAGTCAGGATGGGTGAATCCATGAACATTAAGTTAAGTGTCAGCGTGATGTAGAGTTGTCAGGCTTTTCAAATCCTAACGTTTCATCTAGGGAAGACCCGATACGACTTTTTCACTTCTGATACAATACCGATATTGCAGCCCTCAGTATTGATCGATACCAATATCAATCTGATATCCAATATCAGCACAAATCATACACACTTTTACCTATTTCATAGTGTGGAATGTTTGAAAGACTTGATCAAGTGACATTACTCAATCGGAGAACACGAGCCAGCAACAGTAAGTATGAAGAAAAAAAAAGACAAATTTTTTAACCATCGGTTGCATTAATGTAAACCTTAAACAAAACGTATAACAAATGAATAAAAATAAATACATAATAAATTCAAAGACTGAAAAATATTTTAGGTTAACAAATAAAATATACCTTTTTGAAGTACAAAATTCTAATTCAAGGACACTTCAGTTATGTTTTACTGTCAGCAAATGGTAGGCACTGTTGAGGGCAGTTTCATCCATTTCCTATCATAAGCTAACGCAGGATATGTGTAGGAGACTATCGTGTTCAGCCTGCATGAAAAACTCTTAGCGACTGATTATAATCAGAAATAATAAAAACACCTTTCAGTGAAGATCATCTTACACGATGACAGCGAAAACAACCTTTTTGCTCAATGTTTCTAAAATTGCCCTAATTTTTGTGTTCTGTAAAATCTTTTACAGCACTTACGTGAACAGAACGATGCCGGTGTTTGCCATGGCGTAGGACAGGCCCAGGATCCCGCTACCCATGATGGCATTGCTCAGGTTAAAGACCGACATGCCGAAGGAGGCGTGGCCAGGAAACTGCTCGATAGGAAAGTACCAATCAGTTCGAATCTTAAAAGATGCTAAATTGGGGAAATAGAGCTACTCAGAGCTGGTCCTGGGGACAGTCTTGCAAAACACACTTACTTCTTCGTCATCGTATTTCTTCTTCATTGGTATCCCATTTGACAGGAACCGTTGGTCTTCGCCATCGTCGTTATCGTCTAGAAACTGGCTGCTGCAAGGGTAAAAAAGTGTTGTTAGAATGTAAACTACCAAACTTTATTGCATCACAGTTTAGTTATTTCACCTTGTGGTTTGTGCTGTGTGCAAAAACAACTGCCTAGACGTCTTTAGAAGTCCTCTGTAGATGTTTACCTAAATCAGCTAATTCCATTCACACAAGACCTGACCTGTTCTGACCTGGTTATGGTGGCCTTTTCAGAGTCAATGGGCTCTCGGTCCAAACTGGTGGTACTATCATCATCAGCCTCAGTGGGGACCCTCTTCAGCTCCATGTGATCTCTTACTTTCGGCATTTTGATCCACAGATCAGAGGACGAGGCGGCTTTAAGAAGTTTCAATGCACGAACTTCTCAAAAGTGATTCTTCTTCTTTAATCCCCAGTTAGATGCAGTCGGTCTGGGGAAAATACCTTAAAACAAACAGAAGAAGCACACGAGGAAAACGAATAAGGAAGTGTTGAAGGGACATGAGTTATATTTTGCAGTTTCTGACAAGCCTGCTGGTCTTATCTGACCCTCCTGGGGGCCATTTGGCCCTGAGGAAAACCCTTTTGGGTGTGTTATTGTCCACTTGGTAAAGCATTTTCTAAACTCAAGATTTCTGATATCACTTTGAAGAAGAAATCTCAAATATGCAAACATGCAAAGGTGATGTAATTGGACATGTTTAACCAGTCTCTGCAGCAGCTGGTTTAATCTAGCAGGGTTTTCCCCTGAAGGCTTCATAGGACCAGAGAAGGGCGTGTGCTGGAGCTGCGTCTTATCTGAGTGTTTTAAACAGAAGTTTAGAGCTGGTCTAGTGCCATTATATCGCTTAAAACATTGCATAAAGTAAATGTTTAATCTCAAAGCATTTTCAGTGATTGCTGGTCTATACAGCACCAACTTTTAGGGGCTAGAGCCTGAACCCTTGGTACTAAGCCAGTTCTGCTCTTGTTCAGCACTGCAACACATTTAGTGGAAAAGTCCTGAACTTCTCATGCTTATGGGAGCAAATAGGTTTAAAGTCCCTCACCTTCATGCTAACTTTAGTATATACAGCTGAAACTCAACTTTGTCAGTCACAGGAGAGATCGAGAAGAAGTGGCTAACGTGACAAATAGAGCGCCTAATTCTATTTTCTATCTGTCATCTATGAGTTATGTAAGGAAGAGGTCAAAAGCAAGTCTTTCACACAAAGAGCTCTTTGACTGAGTCCATGAAGAAAGAGTCTCAGAAACACGAACTACAAGTAACAGGAAACACCAGACATGGTGTAAGTCTTCAACAGCAGAGTTGTTCTGTTGTTTCTGCTAATTGTTCGTGTGCATAAACAGTATTGATCATAGACAGATGTTTTGAAGGTAATTGTGTTATAACAAAGGCAGAACTATTAACGTTTTAGGTTAGAAAACCGAAGCTGACCTATGTCTGTAACATGCATATGTGTACGGGTGCCTGGGAGTGCAGTGAAGTATGACAACAAAACTGAGAAGATACTAATCTAGTTACTGGTTGTGAGAAACTACAGATAATGATAAATGAAACAGCACTTCGATAGCACCTTTCAGAGTCAGAGGACTCCAAAGCGCTTTATACTACAGCGTAGGGTGGGGCAATACATCGAAAATTTGACTTACTGAGATTAAATTTTACTTATTGTGATAAAATTAGACTTATCGAGATAATTCTTCCCATGTCAATAAATCTGAAAATAAAAAAATGAAAAGATGTGTGTAGGTCGGCAACGTTCATGTCTCTAAGAAGCTGTACAACCTTGAGTCACGTAAAAATGTGACTCAACATGATACATGTGACAGCTCCATCTAGTGGACTACTTTTGTTTCTGCGGATGTCTGTGGCTATCATCTATTTATCGTTACCGAGGTGAAATCCTCAATATATCATGATATTGATTTTAGGCCATATTGCTCAGCCCTACTAATATCTAGGGCTGCAGCTATCGAATATTTTTGCAATCGAGTACTCTATCAAATCTTTTATCGATTAATCGAGTACTCTAATAAATTACTCTTTTGCGTTTTTTAAACCATTATATCATGTTATAAATATATATATAGCATATATATATATATATATATATATATATATATATATAGCAAATATATATATATATATATTATAGCATGTTATAAAATATGAAAGACCTCTTAAAATGAGCACGCAATTGCCAGTTATTCTTCAAGTTTTATTCAAATTTTGTTTTCAAAACTTCAGCACTTCAACTTTACTTCACAGTAAACAAATGTGAGCGACTGCGGCCCAAACAGAACCAGAACCGTTCACGGCGCATGCGCAAACATGGCTCGCCAGCTGTTTCCCTATTAACACACGTCCGTTTTAATTTCTACACTTTCTTTTTCTCACACTAACAAGGATTGTTGAAAGCATGTTTGCCGTGGTTATGCCAAATTATACTGATCACAAAACATTTATTTACTTTATCTCGTTTTCCTCCGCCACTCACAAATACACGTGTCCTCCTGCAGCAATCCTGAGGGACAACTGACATCAATAACAACACAGTAAAAAGTCTGACGTGTTGTAAAAACTGCTATTTTTAGCACATTTTAAGACCGACGTGTTGCTATCAGATGTACGGTGTGAGCTGAAACTGAGTGCTATAAATGAAAAAGTCGCACAGTGTCTGCAGAATATATAGAAATACAGGCTAAAATGCATAATCTTGTAGAGGCTCCGAGACCGCTTGCAGGAGTGACATTTACATGTGGATGTTTTCTGGTCAGGTGCCGCAGCATGGAGGATGTGGTGTTGTGCTAGGCTAAATCCATTTTACAGTATTCACACTGGACTACGTTTTCCGCCTTACGACGTGAAAAATGGTCCCACACCTTTGACATTTTCTGGTTTTTTCGCACTCCACCGGGGTCCATGTTGTCCGCCATGGCTTAAGAGAGAGTTAAGTTACATTCGCTACTCGCGTGTGCATTCAGTGCAGTGTGTATGTGCGTCACTTATTTCGGTCCGGGTGAAACATGACCCCGGGCGATTGCAAAGCCATGAATTAATTAAACATGAATTAAACGAAGCCTTGAGGCAGAGAATTTGACTCGAGGATTTTTTGTACTCGAATTATTCGAGGTACTCGAGGAATCGTTTCAGCCCTATTAATATCATTCACCCATTCACACACTGGTGATGATGAGCTACAATATAGCCACAGCTGCCCTGGTGCGCACTAACGGAGGCGAGGCTTTCGAACACAGGTGCCACCAGTCCATCCGACCACCACCAGCAGGCAAGGTGGGTTAAATGTCTTGCCCAAGGATGCAACAGCTGAATTGTGTTGGAACTCGGGATCGAACCTGCAACCTTCTGATTACTGGACAACCTGCTCAACCTCCTGAGCAACTGCTTATTATAATATGTCAAATTAAATTCTTATAATAGCTATAATGGACAAGCGCATGGCTCAGCAGTGAGATTAAAATAAAAGAAAACTGCATTAGTTCCTCTTCTCAACCTCAGCTACATTTACACGTTTAGAAAACTTTAACTTTTAAATTTAGCCTACAACTGACAAAAATATTTATTTTAAAACCAGACCCAAAAATGTTCAGTGTAAGTTTTTACTCTAATCTTTTTCATTCATACTTTGAAAGAACTAAATAAAGAATGTAGCCCTCCTATGTCTTTATCTTTAAAGCCCAATAACAACAAAAACTACACGTAGAAAGTCAAATTGACCATTATGCCCCCTAGTGGCCCAACTTTAAGCCTGGTCCTATCTTTGGAAACAAATGGGACCATTTTTCTGGCTACAAATAAAAAACACACTTCCTAATGTTTTCAGGGAGTGGACTTCTATTTCTCACCTTGTTGCTACATGTTCAAATATAATGTTTACCTTCCTAAATACTTACTTTGTGTGCATGTATCCACAGCTCTACTGGACGACTGTTCTTGTTTTTTTTTTTGTAATTGTCAAAAAGGCTGCAAAAACACATTTGCACTTTTGACTCAATGATACACAGTTACTCCATTGATCTGGTGATGGTGAAATCAGATAAAACCAAATAGGACAAATTCTACCTGGAGACACAATCATATGTTTTATTCCACACAAAGATGGATAAATATTCAGAATATCTGCATGCTGAAGCAAGACTGTCAATTTCTCCACAACACTTTATTTTAAACTGTGTTATTGTTTTGGTACGATGGTGCTGAAATCCAATTAAAAAACTCATCCCTGGATAAAAACTTAAATGCATTTAAAAGGTTCTGATGTTGAATAAAGCGGCTCAGAGCTGAGGTTAACAGGTAAACATCCAGTAGTTTTCCATGGCCAAAGAACTAGCACCACAAAGTGTTTGATTTAGCTACAGTTTAAAGAAGGAAGTGTTTGAGTAACACATTTGCATCATGTGTGTGTGTGTGTGTGTGTGTGTGTGTGTGTGTGTGTGTGTACAGTCAACAGGCATATCTTCTATTTTACAGCAGAGCTGGGCCAGGTGGCGTCTCACACCTCCTCTCTACCTCCCAGATGCAGATGGACCCTTCAGACCCTCTTTTTCTCTAATGTGATCCCAGAAACTTCTTTAGGTCTAACGATCAGTTGCTACTTTCTGTTCCTTTTGCTCACACACAGTTAGGAAAGAGAGCCTTCGCCTGCTCTGCTCCTTCTGCTTGGAACCAGCTGCAGAAAACCTGGAAAATGACTGAGCAGGTTTCACTAAATGCCTTTAAAACCAAACTGAAAGCTTCAGAGACTGCATTAGTAACCTGTAACTGCTTTTAATGATTGAGTGTTTTATCATTGTCCTTACGTTGTAACTGTTTGTATTTTTGCTGCCTCTTGGCCAGGACACCCTTGTAAAAGAGGTTCTTAACCTCAATGGGTCTCTATCCTGGTTAAATAAAGGTTAAATAAAAAAATAAAAATAAAAATAAAAAACAGCTGTACCTCAGCCAAAAGAGATTTAGCGGCTCCATTACAACAAAACTCTAGCTAATCTTGCTGTGTCAACCTCCCATGATTAGGAGGGCAGAAAATGTGTTTGTCCAGCCAACAGGATTAACCTGTCTGACTGGGTTAACTTCACACGTTGTCACCACCTTGACTTTATGGCTGGGGTGACGGCCATGTGCAGATGCGTCTTTAGTCGGCTGCTACAGAGTTCAATCCCCATCAGACAGATTTGGACTTGCCCACAAATGAAACCGCAGAGGAGTATTAGGAAAAAGTAGCTAATGAATCTAGAGAGAAAATGTCATTTCCTGCTCTTTGGATGTCATGGGATGGCTTCATGCTTTACATCTGCTTAAAACTGCGAGCTAATTAATACACATGCTAATGGGCTAATATTGTTTTATAATGAAGATTACCAATTTGTCTACAAGACTTCAGGAAGGCTTTTTGTGTACATAAAAACAAATAAACCCATCGTAATCTCACTTCCTGCCGCAACTCAAAAATGTTTTACAGCAAAAGACCAACACTCCACATCCAACAACAGATGTGGATCCAAGTTCTAGTGCCCCACTTTCATTATCCTGTTTAATTTAAACTCCTGGGATGTTCTCCACCCAAACAAACTCTTGCATCAGCCATCTGTTAAATTCCTTCCAGCAATTGCTCGATGCAGAAACTCAGTGGTCTCTGAAAACAACGGTGTACTTCAGACTCTTTGCAACATGCACAAAACTGAAATCAATAATCACAACTTGCAAAAAAAAAAAAAAAAAAACTCTTCGCAAATAAACTCTGAAACACGTTGCTGCTTTTAAGTCGCAATCTGAATTCCTTACAAAATGCAGGCTCACTTACAGAACAGAATCCTTACAGATGTTTGCCAAGATGGTCCCCCTTTCAGAAAGTTATCCTTATACTTATTTAGTTTATTACAATAAGGAACAAGACAAGTTGGTAATCGAGGAGCTGTGGCTCTTTTGTAACTCAGGTGAGAGGGAATGGGTTTTAAAAGGGAGGAGGGAGGACTGCTCTCAGCCAATCAGAACATCCCACTTTTCCCAGACTCCTCCTGTATGAGCCAGAAAAAAAAATTCTATGTGAGCTCACAGGCCTACACACGTCAGCAAAAAAAAAAAGAAAAAAAAAAGAAAAGGTATTAATTGATTTATTTCTACAGATAGATGATAGGTCAATAGTTCAATAGATAAATAGAGAATAAAAGATGGCGCTCACCACCAGTTGGGCCAGCGTTATATACCTACGGCCCCCCTCAAGACATGATCACATGACCTGCCACATGACTGGTTTTTATTTTGGGGGCAAATTTTCTGAACCAAACAGAGTTGGGCCGGCAAAGAACACAGAGCCAAAAAAGTGGAGATATAACACACACACACACACACACACACACACACACACACACACACACACACACACACACACACACACACACACACACACACACACGCACACGCACACACACACACACACAGATTCTAGGGTGCACTGTGGATGACCGTGAGAGGTCTCAGAGGCAGTGCCATCCAATGGCCAATCAGAAGGAAGAACTGAGGGGTCGCCACTGTGCCCAAGGTTATGTTCGTGTCAATACAGGGTTTTTATCTCTGTTAACTTTGTAATACTGTCCAATTACTGGACCAGGCACATGAAGCTTGTACAGGACAAAACGTGGCACAGCTTTCTCAACTAAAACGAGCCAACGTGAAACTCAATCAGACTGATTATAGTACCAAATGTGTTTTTTTTTTACCAAGAAATTAAAGATGACTGTAGCAGAAGTTGGTTATTAAACCAGCACTGAGGAAATGTGTTATTTTATTTACAATATTGAATGGATTCAAACAGAATTACATTAAATATCAGCAAAGTTGAGGAAGAGCTGAGATCCACACGTGGGGTATCGGTCCGATACCACTTCATGGTGGTAGGGTGCTCACCTGTCGGTGACAGCTACCAATCTGCAGCAAAATCTGAAGACGAGTGACGTGTATGACACGGTACTGACATTAGGTTCAGGTAAAGCTGATGAATTGATTTTCTGATTGATTTTTCAGTTTAAACAAAGTAAGCACTAGCGTCAGACCTTTGTTTTTGTTGCAACAAACCAAATAATAGGGAGTCGAAATCACACCCAAATACTTCTGGACCATGGGCCCTCAACTGCCAAAAAAAAATAAGAATGAATGGGAGTCTATGAGAGAATAAAATTATTTTCTCATCCCATTTGATGCGTGTCATGGATTTCACATATGATGTCTGATCTTTAAAGACCTATTTTGATGCAAAGGAAGCGCTTAATTTTGACAGGCAGCTACATTTATTTTAGGTTCACAGGTATACCTGCACAACATAAATTATGTGTGTATACCATTTTCTTCGCCGCAACAACCCTTTGAGTACTGGTGATGAGCCCAATTTATACTTCTTCATCTGCAGAGGCACACAGCGCCATTATTCGTCGACGCGAAGTCTCTCCGACAGGCACGCAAGGACGGAGTAGAGTGCAATTTTTTACCTGTCTGTCAAATGCAACGGTCGCGGCACAAATGCCGTACTGAACATCAGCGCCTGGTACTCACTTGAGTAATTTAACTGTAGTTAGGTGTACCCATGACTATTGGGATTAACAGCCCATGACTATTGGGATTAACAGAAGACTAGAAAATAGCTGCTGAAAATTTTCATTCTACTTTTCATAAAATAGGATGATTGATATAACTTTGAAGTTACAGATCAAACCACCAGCTTTCAAATATCTTACTAATGTCATAAATGGTTAGTGAAACCGCTTTTGTGCCAACATGTAGACAGACCGTTCTGGAACCTGGTGTACTCTCCAAATGCCTTTTGACTTATTTTCATAAATGATAATTGACCCTGTAATTCCCATTTTTACTGTTTAAATCAGAGCCTGCTCTGCTCTGGTGAGGCAGCTGATTTGTCCAGTTGACGACACCAAGAGTTTCCTTATCTTCCGCAAATTTAACAATGACGTGGTGGAGAAAATATGGATGTTTTGGTAACAGGAGACTAACAAAAGTCTGTTATGATCATTCAGTAAACATGCAGCAATGGGATGATGTTTGCGTCCCAGATATAGGGGGTTATTAACCTCCATTCTTCATCAAAACATCTGCTTTTCTACCTCCGACAGATCAGAAGCATTGTTGTTGTTGAATTGCAACCTAAAGGCCTGACCCCACTCTAGACCTGGAGACAAATCCTGAAAACATTCTGCTGGTAAATGATTGGCCAGATAACACCATTCAGCTTGTCAAACACAAAAATAAACAGACAAATGTTTTCCTTTCTGGTGAATTGAAATTGACCTACCAATCAAATCCAACACAACTCATTACTTCTGTTTACGGCTGGTCTAATCCATCAACTGCATGCATGTGTTTACACGTAGCACCATATGACGTAACAAACACCATCTGACATTTGGTCAACATTAGCAGGTTTAACGTGTTTTCCTTTGTCATGAACAAAAAAGCCAATATGTTAAGTACCTTAATTTAAAATATTTCAAAAATTATTTTATTTATTCCAATCTATCTTACAACACGAATCAAAACGTAGATCCATCATAATTTCAACTAAACCAGGGTATATGCAGGGATCTTGAAGTAAGTTTAAATACCTTTTCAGGACTTCTCTAAAAAAATTAAGATCACAATGCGCCTGAAACTTACAAAAAGTCTTATTTTGTAATTCAGATAAAAAGAAATAAATGTTGTAATTCAAACTTTATCCAAAGTTTATTCATATTTGCCAGAATATCAAAAATACTATTGGATCTTATGGAATTCTTTACAACAACTAAGTCAGGCTGTTAAAGTTTAAAGCCGCAACCAATCAGGGCCAATGAAAAAGAGCTCCTGTGAAGCGCTCTGCATGCTGAGCATCGTCTCCCAGATAGGAGAAAAGGTAAGAAAGAAACAAGTCACTCCAGGACCCCCCAAAGTAGATGTGAATTAGGGCTGCAATTATAGAATATTTTGGTATTCTATCAAATCAGGTTAATCGAATCAAATCAAATTCCCATTTTGACAACGTTTCAAGTAAAACAAGACTGCAGTCTGCTGCTACAAATATGAAAATAAAACAACAAAATTATAAGAGGTTCAATAATATGTATTAAATTTGTGTTGTCTAGTTCCCCCTTTCCCATCTGATATTTAAAGTTAATAAATATCTTACGGAAGAAAAATGTAACCTACATTTCCTTAAAGGGGCCATTTCATAGAAAATCTAATTTGGGAGCATTTTAGCGTGTGTTATTGTTGTTTCCTCATGAAGAATACTCCCAAACCCACTTTTGGCTGCATTTACACATTTTCCTGTTTTAGCTGCAAATTTTGAATTTTATTTTCAAATTGCAATAGTACCACTCATTTTAGTGTAAATATCCAGACCACATATGATCAGTAGATCATTTAATTATTTCAGTAGGAAGCTACTGGAAATGCTATTAATATTTATTTCCTACTGGTAACACTGTAATAGTTGCATATATACTGTTTAATCCAGTCTAAATTATATTCAAATATAGAAGCATTTGTGAATTACATGTTTCAATGGCTTGCCACAGAAGTGTGGTGTGTGGAGGAGACTCGTAGCTAGGAATTTCCCGATCAGCATTTTAGGCTGCCGATCCCGATCCGATCTTTCAACTTCAAATCCGGTCTGATTTTGAGTCCTGATCCGATTGTTTGCCTTTACTATTGACATTGTAAATCCAATGAAATCAACTTCCTGTTTTAAGACGGCATGCAGAGTGCTATATTTCTGGCAGCTTTATTTTGTGTTGAATTGCTAATGTGAAGATGGACTCAAAAGTACAAAAAAGGAAAGGTCACATTCGTTACAAAGAGCGCAAGGTTGGCTGTAGCCAGTACCCTCTTCTTATTCTTTGCTTTTTCTTCTGTGCGTGCTTTAATGCCCTAAAAGTGTTCAGACCGTGGTGCGCACATTTAACAACGCTTTGAATCAGTAAAAAATGATTAGAGAAATTTAAAGGTGCAGCATGTAAAAATATAGTGAGAATTTTATAGTGAGAAAATCCCAAAGAGTAATTTTGGAAGGAATGATCTGAAACATATTTCCTATCCAGCTGGCTGTAGGGATTGTCAGTTTTTCTCCTTTCAAAACAAAGTAAGGAAAGACGTAACTACTGTTTACCAGCAGTGAGTGTGGGGGTGTCGTGTCTCCTGCGAGCTAACACTGCAGCACCGACGACTGTAATTTGACGACGGCCGGCAAAAGCTCCAGAGTTGTTTAAAGTGGTTGCAGTGACCAAATTTTACGACAGGATGCTATTTTTACCTCATTTCTACATAATGCACCTTTAATGGATCAAACTTAATGTGAACTGTAGCTCACTTTATTTTCTAACTTAATGGTTCATTCCCTTTTTATTCTGGTCAATCACGCATTGACAAAACTTTCCTAAAACAGTTTTCCTCTTAAATGCAAACCTTGTTCTGCCTTCTGTTATTACCTTGGTGCTTAGTGTTGAATGAGGGCAGGGCACAAAGCCTGAGGCCAACCAGGATAAAATTATCAGGGTTGTTTTATTGCAGTTTGGTGGGGATCAACACCATTCTGCTGTCGTCAAACGCACTTATACATTTTTTAAATGGAGAGCTTGTTTTCCCATGTACAGATCATTTAAATACTTATTTCCCCTCAAATGGGATTCCATACACTGAGAGGGTGGGTCCTGGTGTTGGACAGCTGCTTTATGTAACAGTTCAAAGAAATCCATCTCACCACTTTTGGCAAGGATCAGACAAGCTGACTGATTGATGTTTGACACATTTTTATAAGAGCTATTTCAATAATCCAAACTCTTTGTTCTTCAGAGAAAGGTGTGTCAGCTTGTCGTCATTTTTCCTTCCAGCGTCAGAGGAACATCACCTCTCTCCACTTCTCTGTGACATCAGACGATGGGTCTAAGTTCAACAGCTACAGTAATGTCCCAAAACCAACAACCCAACACTTACCCACCGCTTCATGGTGATTGGCTGGGAAACAATCCAGTTTTTCTGGCTCTTAATCTACATCAAAATCCAAGTGCATGAAGGTTCATGTTTCCCCCATGCCTTCAAGCATGGCTATCCATAACAACGCTGACATTCTGATGCACTCAAACGCACTTATGAATGTGACGAACCATCTAACACTTCAGGCTCAGAGCAGTCATCTCATCAGCAGGATATTTTCAGCAAACAAATGTTTGATAGAAGTTATGACAAAACAAACAAAAATACAAAAAACCCAATGAATGCAGAATTTGTAATAGGAATATGCTGAACTAATTAGCTGAAATGACTCCTCAGACAAAAGCGAAAACCTTTCAACTTCAGTCTTATCGTGTGATAACGAAGACCAGAGGAGCTTGAGTAAACATCATACTGGCCTTTAGTACATAACCCTGGTGTGTCCCAACCTGCTGCGAACCTTACTGGCCATTTTGTTGCCCTTATCTGTGACTATTGATCTGCAGACTCATGTATGACGCCAGCTTCAAAGTTAGGTAAAAACTTGATTTTTTGTACAACCTTGACAAGATCAGAAAAGACAAGTTAAACCAAAAAAAGTTTTACTATTAGATATTTATTACTTTTTGTTTTAGATTTTGTCAATAGAGGACTTAATTTGGGCAACAACCCCCCCAAAAACAAACAAACAAAACAACTTTAGACTGTCCGTTCTTCCAAGACAATTCCAGCACGACAGCATCCTTCATCATCAAGTGTTAATTCACAGCATAAAGTCGAGCCTAATCGCACCACTTTACCTTTAATACAAAGTAAAAAAAACTTCAGTTCAGATCTAACACGTGGAAAAATAAGACGTGGAAAAAGTTGTTACTAGTTTGTACAGACGTTATTGAGAAGCA